TGCTATTTTTTAAAAAAACAGAGTAACAAAGAGTTTGAAATTAAAAACATGACGACAGAAATGAAAAAAACCTCAATACGAAGGTGAGAAGATAAAGCTTAAGAAACTGTCCAGAAAATAGAATAAAAAGAAAAAATTATGGAAAATATAAGAAAAAGATACCTGGAAGATCAGGCCAAGAGGTTCAAAATACAATTAACAGGAGACACAGAGAATAACAAAAACGTATGGTAGGAAATTAATGAAGTACTTCAAGAAAACTTCCCGAAGTGAAGCACACATTTCCAGATTGAAAAGAGTCCTTCTGAGTGCCCAATACACCTCATCAAGGACAGAACATTGTAAGAATTCAGGACAATGGGAACTGAAAGAATATCCCATAAGCTTCCAGAAAGAAAACAAACAAGTCACATACATACAAATGATCAGGAATCAAAACACATTTAGACTTTCCAAAGCAAAAAAGCAATAGACAAATACTTTCAAAATGTCAAAGGAAAATAATTTCCTATTTAAAATTCATACTCAGACACGTTGTTATTCTTAATAATAGTCCTTGTAAGGACTGACTATGGGCACTTTCAGACATCTGAGGTCCCCGAAAGTTTACTTCCAAGGCAAGCCTTTCTCAGGAAACTACTGCCCTCCACAAAAGGATGGAGTAAACCAAAAAGACAACAAAATGGGATAGAGAAAATAGGAGAATTAACACAGGAAAGAAGGAAAAGGGAATTGCCAGGATGAAAGTGAATGGAGCCTCCAGGCTGACAACTATGCACCAGGTATAAAGGACAACCTGCAGCAGTGTGACTTCATGAGAAGGCATATGCTGAAAGCTTATGTCATCATGTCATCACCATGACATCTGCCACTGTACAGCATTTTAACCTGACAAAACCAATGGAAGATATGCTTTACCAAAAAAGTAAGAGTAAATCAAGAAAAAGGAGGATATAAGAACCAGGAAGTTCAATCAAGGAGACATTCCAAGGATCACAGAAAATTTAAGTCCCAGAATGACAACTGTGAAGCAACCTAAGAGAGCTATCAGCTCAGACAAAGGAGAATGGAAGTTTCCAGGACAGAATGTCTCAGAGAAAACAATTAACAATAGATATATTACCTAAAGTCACTTTAGTTTGATAAAATAGGAAAGTTAAATATGGAAAATCCAGACAATTATTACCTTCAGGAAAACAAATAAAAAGGAAACATAAATATGGACTATTACAACACTCAGCTGTAAATAATACTTGCACAGGCATAATAATAAATGCTGAATGCTGGTTTAACA